GGTTAGGGTTAAGGTTAGGGTAAGAGTACGGTTTAGGGTTAGGGTTAGGTTTAGGGGTTAGGGAAAATAGGATTTTGAATGGGACTGAATTGTGTGTCCCCACAAGGTTAGCTGTACAAGACTGTGTGTGTGTGTGTGTGTGTGTGTGTGCGTGTGTGTGTGTAGGCTGACACTTCAAATGTGGCGACTGAAGCTTGTGCCTGTCCTGTAAAAACAATCTGTCAAACCCAAACTTACTCCAGTTTCTTGGGACTCTTGGGATATCATATCAAAGTTCGGTACCCCCATTCTGAGAGGTGTGTGGGTGTGAGAGTGAAAGGCAACGCTATGGCAACAATTACCAAGCAAGTCAAGCTAGGGGCTTTAGGTCCAACTGCACCCCCAACCCTCAGCCCCAACCCTCAGCCCCAGTTCTCAGTCCCAACCCTCAGCCCCAGCTCTCAGTCCCAACCCTCAGCCCCAGCTCTCAGTCCCAACCCTCAGCCCCAGCTCTCAGTACCAACCCTCAGCCCCAGCTCTCAGTCCCAACCCTCAGCCCCAGCTCTCAGCCCCAACCCTCAGCCCCAACCCTCAGCCCCAACCCTAAGCCCCAACCCTCAGCCCCAAACCTCAGCCCCAACCCTCAGCCCCAGCTCTCAGCCCCAGCTCTCAGTCCCAACCCTCAGCCCCAACCCTCAGCCCCAGCTCTCAGCCCCAACCCTCACCCCCAACCCTCAGCCCCAGCTCTCACCCACAACCCTCAGCCCCAGCTCTCAGCCACAGCTCTCAGTCCCAACCCTCAGCCCCAACCCTCAGCCCCAACCCTCAGCCCCAACCCTCAGCCCCAACCCTCAGCCTCAACCCGCAGCCCCAACCCTCAGCCCCAGCTCTCAGCCCCAGCTCTCAGTCCCAACCCTCAGCCCCAACCCTCAGCCCCAGCTCTCAGCCCCAGCTCTCACCCACAACCCTCAGCCCCAGCTCTCAGCCCCAGCTCTCAGTCCCAACCCTCAGCCCCAACCCTCAGCCCCAACCCTCAGCCCCAGCTCTCAGCCCCAACTCTCAGCCCCAGCTCTCAGCCTTCTAGGAGAAACATGGTTGTCAGTTGTGACGTTATAAACATCAAGCGAGATAGAGGATTAATGACCCAGGGGACTGGGGAGCGCAATCCCCAACTCAAAGAGCCCCACGGGTTCTGAGCTGTGACAGACCTTCGTCTCACTACAGGAACCTACAATTTGTGACACCACTGCTTCCCATCAACCACTAGCATTCCATGTACCAGTAGAGCAGAGATTTCTGCTTGTTGTGATTCGGTCCATAAAATCGTCTATTTTTCTATTTGATCCTCTGGCATCCCTGTTTACAAGTGATGCGTGTGTGCCAGGTGAGAGCCTCCAACTACTCATGTAAATGAGTGATGAACTCACTAGACTGAGACCAGCATGTGACTTCAGCTCTGGTGCTGAGTTTTGGAATGTGTTGTGATGGAGCAAACTGCATTCTAAAGCCAAACCGAAAGGTAACAGGCCTCAAAAGACCCTCTGCACTCCTTCACCCCCTGAACAGCAGTACAAAATAATTGGTAGGTCAGTTAGGGTTCAATTCTGTAACCTACCTGTGTTTTACTACAACCTATTACAACAACTCATTTTACGATGCAGCAGTGTTACAGATATGTATGCAGATAATAATGGACAACATCATTGAGAGGATGATGAGCATCAGCAATCCCATAACTCTTCACTATTCACTGGTCTCACCTGTTTTTTCACCACGGTCACCTCGGTCTCCCTTCTCGCCCTTAAGTCCTCTTTCTCCTCTGTCACCTTGGAAAGGACAGACAGACAGACAACAAAGCATTGTGTTTCACTCAGTGGCAGCTTTAGGAGTAGCACAGATGAATATTTAACATAATGTAACTACAAAATCAAACTGAACATAAGTGAAACTGATGATCCTGTTGAACAAGAGCAGTATTATGTTCCTAGAGAACCTCCCAACATGCTACTTCTCTTCTAAGTATTGCCCTCTCACTCTGTCATGGTTGACTCTGTCATGGTTGACTTTGTGTAGGTGGGCCCGGATTAGGCCTAAGGCTAGGCTATGGTTTGAGGTTTCCAAATTGCCTTCCTGGAATACTTGTGAGCAGGGCTGCTGGAAAACGTGTGGCGAGGTGGCATTTGCCATAGCACTTTTGATTTAGTTGAATAAAATATATCGATGCAAAGCGTTAAAAAGAGGGGCAAAGTGCTGTTTTTGGATACATTTGCCTCATGATTTGTCGACTTGTGCACAATTACTCTGTAATTCACATCAGAGTGTTGTTGCAGGCTCTTTGCGTGTCTTGACCAATCAGATTCATGGAAATCGCAGGTCGCGCGGGCTGGGCACAATGCACAAAACTCAAGGCGCGCTCTCCACTTTCCTGCGCTTTCTCTGTGTCTCTGTATAGGAAACCCCCCTTGTCCTTCTTTAAAATATAATTCATATGAACAAGTACAAGTTTGCTGAAGTTTGACAGGGTTTTCATCCTCCCCAAGACCAGGAGTTGTTCCATGTGACCTGATTAGAAAAACTCTGGTCCCATCATAGCCTGTATTAAACCTTTTTACAACTGATTAGTCACGTCATACCGTATAAGGTCAGAGTTTTAACTGGTTAGGTTACCAGGAAAAACTACGGGCCCCAGATTGTTTTTTTCACCACACCACTCTGGGACCTGTGGTGCCACCTCTACTTGTGAGACAAGAATACTTGTATTTTTGCCAATGGTTGGGGAAACATAAAGTAACTCTAAAATAGTCCCCCTCACACTGAGAAGAAAGACAGCTGAACCAACCTCAGGTCTGATATTAGACATCCCTCAACTCAATTTCCCTTTGGATACCTTATAATCTTGTTAACCTGAACTGAAGACCCACAAACTAAATGTAATCACCTAGTCATTAGACTTAACAATTATTGGACAACCCCCTTGTGAACTACAGTATCTTCAGCTTTTGCTGAAGTGGACTAGAAAAACAGTACAAAGAAAAAGACAGTACAAAGATTACAAAACAAGCAAATACAGTATATTGAGGTGTATGTTTCCCCAAAAGTGAACATGAACACATTATGTCCTTGATTCTCTGTGATCTGACGTCCATTGTTGTGGGCTATTGTTTTGTTTGTTGCTCTGCTCTCGTCGTCTGAGGCAACTCATCTATCTGTCTGTGGGTTGTATGCCAAATTATGAAAGACAAAAAGGGGTCAGAGCAAAAGACAACATCAATTTAACGATTAAAGGATTTTTTGAAAAATCGCTGGGGTTGAGAGGCTGAAAGCACAGTCATCCTGCATCTCCTCTTTCAGAGTGAGCAGAGAGAAATGTTATGGGGTCTTTCTGGCTTCACTATTTGAAGCCAGTTAACAGTCTTATCAATGTTATTGAAAGTAGATCCTCCTTGGATACATTTGTGTCCTGAAGAGGGAATCTGATGTTGATCTGATGAGGATCTGAGTGTGGATGCAGGGACATTCTGGAGCCTTGCAGTTTCACCTGAAAGCCTTGATTGTTACAAGTGTGCCAGCACCATACATTTAATTTACTGTCTGGACTTGAGAGAGGCTGTGGAAAATGAAGTAATCAGTCAACTTCAATCTTTAATTCCATTCAATAAAGATTTGTTGTATTTTGATATGTACCAGAAGTTTATGTCCATTATTATAAAGGACACCACACAATAAGGCAAAAAGGACCATTATGGTACTGTCAACTTTTTGTTGTAGAATATTCATTAAAAAAAATAAACTATGGATTTGCCTTTGATGGAATATTCAAATTCATACCACTCAGTTCGGTGGAAACATCTCTCTGTAACTACAAGTTTAAATCCACAAGGTGTGGTCATGAGCTGTTACTGTAAGAAAGTAATATAACATATGACTATAAAGTGACCATTATCCCACGTTTAATTCCTGTAGTTTCATATCTAAAATCACAGGAAAGGGTCCAATGGCATTGGCACCCAAACAGAACCACCAATTGTCGGGTAGTGCTCTGAGCTGACCACATCCTCATCGTAATGTGTGCGGTGGTCAGGAAATGTTAGACACTTACTCTGGTTCAAACGCCCATTGCCAAACACAGCTCTACCTCACAGAAAAACTGACATAAAGAAAGGCCTACTTTAACAGGCCACACAACATCTCTCCCTTTTCCACAAGGGTGCTTTTACAAGCTTTACTAAAAGGTTAAGTACCTTTGTTGTTTTATTTCGTATTTATCTAACCCTGTGTTATGTGTGTTGTAGTCACAGTGAGTCAGTCTAACAGGGCTCGGAGGCCAGGGCAGATAGAGAGTGCAGGCACACACATCCAATCTTAATGTTATTGGCTCACAGGGGTTTAAGCCTCCATCACCGGACAGTTCAGCCAAACTAAACTGATCCAGCTGTTTGGTTAGCATAGAGAAATAAAATAAGCCTGTTGTGGAGAGTCAAATCCATGACCAATTCAATAAGGCACTGCGTCTCGAATCATATGTGTGAGAGGAGTATCTGATTACAAAACAAGTGCTGCTTCCCAACACACAAGGTGACGAAAGAGGAAAAGGCTTCCTAGAAGCAAGGTTGGACGAGCCCTGAGACATGGCTGTAGACTCCTATAGCAAGGTCTCAGGGCTAAGGTTGGACCAACTAAAACCCGGACATGGCTTTCCTCCATTATTATGGTGAGGGAGATATTTCTGTCTGCAAGGTTTTAGGTTGGCAGTTCAGCTGATAAGGAAGGTCTGCTTTGGGTTAGGATGGGGAGGCCAAGGGCCTGCAGATATAGTTATCAATGAGACACAACAAATCAGATGGAATAGTCCTTGAGCCTTCATCAATCTGTCTGGTTTGCCTTCTCTGGAGCCTGAGTTTAAGAGAGAGCATGCCATCACAACAGGATAAGGGAGACTGGTTCAAAGAGGCAGCGAGGTACAGATGATAGTTTAACTAATGGCTCTACAGCTGTCAGACAGTAATAATTTCAGACATACCTTTGGGCCCTTCGGGTCCCATATCCCCGTTCTCCCCCTGTAGGCCATCGGAGCCGCTCGGGCCCTTTAGTCCCCTTGGTCCCTGGATGCCTTTTTCTCCTGTAAAACCTGCCGGGAGGACATAAACAAAGCATTGGATTTATTTTCCCAATCTTTTCAAACAGAATATCTGACATGCGTTTCAAAGAATGCAAACAGCCTATCTTATCCGAATCTTTGAGTATGATGGTCCGCTTGCATGCCATAATAACATTTTCCAATGTTCTCTTTCTTTATTCATCATTTAATTATGTAATGAAAGACTATCTAAGGGAATGCCCCTGCTCCCTTTCCCAGGATGCTTTGAGACCAGTTGGGGGCTGTTATTAGGTTGCTAGCATTATTAGGTTGCGAGGACATGGTTGAAAAATGGTTGAATAATATAATGTATGTTGAAAGTTAGAATAGGACTAATGACTGTACAGTACAGTGTACGAACCTCTCATCCCTGTGAGGCCTGCCACACCAGTGGCCCCAAGTGGCCCCACATCGCCCTTCTCACCTTTTGGTCCAGGAGGCCCTGTTGAAAACAACCTAATTAAAGCGTTGAGTTGATCCCGAGATAACAAACTGATGAATATACTGTAATATGAAGACAATATGATTGCTGAAGTTGTGTAATCCCATAAATCACCAGTTTCCTCTTGGTATGTCATTCATGTTTCACCACACCCTCTGACTAAAGCAGAGGAGCTCAAGGCAGAATCTGAGTCTGAAACATGGTTAAGGGACATCATCCAACAATTTTTTATACTTGGATCCAGTTAACTGACTTCAGACTTGTTTGTAGAATCAGCTTGGCCACAACGGAAACCACGTTACCCAAGGTACACCACAATGGAACCACAAATGAAAACATTTGATTTTAGTCTTGTTTTGTCCAACTGACATTTTCAAAAGTAGCCTTTCAAATCATAATGTGAACTGTTCCTTAGATCCTAAGATACTATCCTGGCGTAAAGGAGTAGCTAATGAGAAGTCAGGGTTAAAGGTTGACTTGGAAGTCTTCTCACCCTGGGGGGTCTGAAGGGAAAACCACTCCACTTAATTGGTGGTGACTGGTTTGTTTTAGTGGGACCAATGGTATCACTCATCACTTCTTAATAGTCTTCTATTAATTAAATGAAGAATGCTCAAGAAAAACAAACATGCTCCATGAGGGTCAACCAGCGTGCAACTTTCACATAAATAGCCATCCGTGAAGCACCAATATGTGGTGCTGTGTCATGGATCAGCAATTTTGAGTTGGCTGGACAGAAACCACACATTGGTAATGCACTATTTGCATGTCAAGGGAAAACGCCTGCAATGCAATCCATTTTGTGATATTTGGTATCAACTTGATAGATAGATTATTTAAACCATTGGCTTTCTGATGAAGCTGTGATACTTTAAAAACAAACATGTTTAGGCTATTTAAGGTGGCTGATATTGTTTTTACACCAAGGATGACCATTTATCAAATTATCCACTAAAAGAACATCACATTTTCCTTATTTTGTTTCACCACTGGTGAAAAATGAAATTACCGCTAGATCAATGTTTAAATTATAACAATTACATTTCCATGAGAATGAAGGCAATGGACACAGTGATCCTCACAGCCAGAAGACACTTCACTAAAACAGCAAACATGTCACTGCTGAGGTCATTACTGTTAATCAAGTGGCTGTGTGATGAATATAAATGTTTCCATGCTCACACTCTCCTCAGACCAACACATCACAGTTTCTTAATCCGCCTCTAAACTTTGCTTAAATGTTTTTTTTCCCTTCTCATTTGTCCACCGCTGCCAAATTGGAAGGTAGGCATGAAACATACAGTGCATTCGGAAAGTATTCAGAACCCTTGACTTTTTCCACATTTTGTTACGTTACAGCCTTACTCTAAAATTGATTAAATTATTTTTTTTCCTCATCAATCTACACACAATACCCAATAATGACAAAGCGAAAACAGGTTCTTAGAAATGTTTGCAAATTCATAAAAAATAAAAAACAGAAATACCTTATTTACATACGTATTCAGACCCTTTGCTATGAGACTCGAAATTGAGCTCAGGTGCATCCTGTTTCCATTGATCATCCTTGAGATGTTTCTACAACTTGATTGGAGTCCACCTGTGGTAAATTAAATTGATTGGACATGAATTGGAAAGGCACACACCTGTCTATATAAGGTCCCACAGTTGACAGTGCATGTCAGAGCAAAAACCAAGCCATGAAGTCAAAGGAACTGTCCGTAGAGCATCAAGACAGTATTGTGTCGAGGCACAGATCTGGGGAAGGGTACCAAAACATTTCTGCAGCATTGAAGGTCCCCAAGAACACAGTGGCCTCCATCATTCTTAAATGGAAGTAGTTTGGAACCACCTAGACTCTTCCTAGAGCTGGCCGTCCGGCCAAACTGAGCAATCGGGGGAGAAGGGCCTTGGTCAGGGAGGTGACCAAGAACCCGATGGCCACTCTGACAGAGCTCCAGACTTCTTCTGTGGAGATAGGAGAACCTTCCAGAAGGACAACCATCTCTGCAGCACTCCACCAATCAGGCCTTTATGGTAGAGTGGCCAGACAGAAGCCACTCCTTAGTAAAAGGCACATGACAGCCCGCTTGGAGTTTGCCAAAAGGCACCTAAAGGACTCTCAGACCATAAGAAACAAGATTCTCTGGTCTGGTGAAACCAAGATTGAACTCTTTGGCCTGAATGCCAAGCGTCGCGTCTGGAGGAAGCCTGGCACCATCCCTACGGTGAAGCATGGTGGTGGCAGCATCATGCTGTGGGGATGTTTTTCAGTGACAAGGACTGGGTCAGGATTGAGGGAAAGTTGAACGGAGCAAAGTACAGAGAGATCCTTGATGAAAACCTGCTCGAGAGCACTCAGGACCTCAGACTTGGGTGAAGGTTCACCTTACAACAGGACAACAACCCTAAGCACACAGCCAAGTCAACGCAGAAGTGGCTTCGGGAAAAGTTTCTGAATGTCCTTGAATGGCCCATGAAAGCCTTCCTGTAGCTCAGTTGGTAGAGCATGGCGCTTGCAACGCCAGGGTTGTGGGTTCGATTCCCACAGGGGGACAGTATGAAACATTTATGCACTCACTAACTGTAAGTCGCTCTGGATAAGAGTGTCTGCTAAATGACTAAAATGTAAAATGTAAATGTAAGGGTTGGTGTGAGGTGTGACCCAGGTACGGTGCAGGATAGACAGTAGGCAGTAGTCAGAGATGGTGAAACAAGGATCTTTACTGGTGGTCCCAAAACCAGGATGAGTGGCCCAGCCAGAGCCCGGACTTGAACACAATCGAACATCTCTGGAGAGACCTGAAAATAGCTGTGCAGCAACACTCCCCATTCAACCTGACTGAGCTTGAGAGGTTCTGCAGAGAAGAATGGGAGAAACTCCCCAAATACAGGTGTGCCAAGCTTGTAGCGTCATACCCAAGAAGACTCAAGGTTGTAATCACTGCCAAAGGTGCTTCTTCAAAGTACTGAGTAAAGGGTCTGAATACTTATGTAAATGTGCTATTTCAGTTTTTTAACTTTTAATACATTTGCAAAAATTTCTAAAAACCTGTTTTTGCTTTGTCATTATGGGGTATTGTGTGTAGATTGATGAGGGGGAAAGAACAATTTAATCAATTCTAGAATAAGGCTGTAACGTAACTAAATGTGGAAAAAGTCAAGGGGTCTGAATACTTTCCGAATGCAATGTAAGCTAAAGGTATTGGGATGGAGGGATGGAGTGAGGAAGGGAGGGAGAGGAGGCATCATGGCCAGAAACGCCAATTACCACGAAAAGGTGTGCAGCTTTCCTGGTTAAACCCATGCTTAATGACAAACAAATGGGATTTTCAGTGGAACAAATGACAGGGCTAAGTTCCTTGGTTTTGGAGGCTTCTAAATGTAACCCACAATTGTTTCCAGCCTAGATAAAACACTGTCCCATCCACATACAATATAAATCAGATTCTGATTCAAAGTCTTATTTGGCATGGATTCACATCACTGAATTCTGTCTAATTCCTGCTAACATTAATAATGACATACTTATTTGAAATTTATTGAGTATGAGAGCAAGTCTCAATACAATCTGTAATTGATTCTAGAGTTACCATACATAACATCAACATCTTCAACATTTTCCTTAACCATCGTGAAAGGAGCTCAGTAATCATAGGGAGATTATAATGACATAAACTTCATTCTAGCCAGTGATCAGTGATGGGGCCGTTACCTTCTAAGAAGGTGATGTTCTTGAGGATATAGGAGTGTTCCCAGTCCTTGAGCCTCAGGTCTTCTGTGATGGTGCTGAGGATCTCGACCTCATTCTTCAGGGTCTCCTCCATGTGCACTTGTGTCTCCCTCATGTACATTGCGTCCTGGCTTGCGTTGCTGATCTGCACCTGCAGGTCCTGGATCTTTAGGTGATGGACGCTGATGTCGCTGGTGAACGTGTGGTTGACTGCGCCGACCGTCCAGCCAACCTCCTCCAGCCTGTCCTTGAGCTGGTCCACTTGGTCCGCCGTGCTCCTCAGCAGGAGGTTGTGGTCGTGCAGTGAGACCGAGGCCTGGACCAGCTGGTTGCTGAGCCTACTCACGTTCCTCTCGTTGGAGCGGTTCAGGACGGAGACACGGTCCCCCAGCTGCTCCATGGTGCTGTCTGTCGACTGGCAGTGGCCTTGCAGATCCCTGATGTCCCTCTCCAGGCCACTCACTGCCCGGCCCAGCTGCTTTAAGGACTCGCTGTGGTTCTGCAACAAGCTCTCCAGCTTCCAGATGTTCTCCATGAGGTCTGCCTGAGAGGAGATGTCGCCCAGGGACTGCTGAAGCTCCCGAGAGCGGTCCTCCATACGGGTCATGTTCTCCATCAGTGCCTCCTGCTTCTCTGAGGACATCTGGGACCTGGACACTGAGGAGGACACATGGAAGAGAGGAGAAAGAGGAGAGGTTCAATTATACATCTCCTACATCTCCATAGCAGATAGAAAACGCTACAGATCAACAACGCTACAGTATATGGCTCCTGAACATTTATCAACAGAATCCACCGCATTGGATCACTTAATTGTCACTGGAATGATGATTAATAACACTAGAGTTGTACACTACAGTATTACTATTAAAACGGCAAGATAGTGTCGTGATCTCTTTTATACCATTGGCAATGACTGTTTGTTGTTAACGTCTTTGGAAAGGAAAGAGAAGTGATCTATTTTAAACAACCTCTATAACAAGAGAAGGCTTTTAAGGTTTATGTTCTGTCGGAGTGAAGTTGCTTGGTAACATTGCAGTCAGCCAGAGAGATATTTTGAAACTAAATCCTCTCAGCTCTGCAATGACGACATCCTCTCTTATACTTTCGAGACCCTTATGTCAAAAAAAGTGATGTGGCTCAATCTGAGAATAATCGAATGTTGGGGAAATGGAAGGAAATGGCCAATTCCCAGCACACATGTTCAAAATCCCTCTCATCCTTCTCCACTGCTATTATAAAATTGTTGCCTATGTGTGTGTTGAGGACCAGAACTAATTTAATTATTTCAATATGAGGGAAATGTTGCCTACATGGTTGCACAAAGAGACTTTATATTACTTCTCATTTTACGTTCTTTACAAAGTTAATGAGCTGAAAACCAAAATAAGCTGGCGCTCAACCACAGAGACTTTCTCATTCCAAAATGACAGTCTATCTTACAGTATGTTATTTCCACACGTAGATAAGCCTAATTGTTATTAATCAGGAAGTCACGGACGGCAACTTCGGCTCTAATGTGGGTTGAAGAGTAACGTGGGAACGTGCCAAAAAGCACAAAACCAAAACAGATGGATTTGTTTCCCAGAAGGATAAATTAAGAAGAGAGATGTGGGATCCTGGACTGACTAGGGTGAATATAGAGTAGGTGAAGGTCTGCCCTCATTTAGCATTCAATCACTCATCCTTGGAGACACCGAAGTCTCTGGTAACGCACTGCGGCTCTTCGCATGACCTTGACCTGTCCCTGCTCTACCACAGGACAGTAACAAGAACTCACACAAGTTAACAGTCACATTCCATAAAAGGCTCCAAAATGCACAAATACTTTTTCTATTTCTTCTATTGATGCATTTCTGTTTACAGGAATCTGGGAGCCCAATTAAGTTTCAAGCAATGCTCTGGAGGATATCTAATGTATGAATTTCATCATCACCCATGCAACATTTACCCTTGCACTAGAGCCAAACAAATTTGCAAACAGGGGTGTGGTGACCAGTAAACTGGACTGCTCATCGAAACAGCCAGCAGGCGAGGTCAACAACCCCATTCCTCCACTGGACTACCTACCGTGACGACTGGAGAGTCTGTAAAAGATATGGAGAGTCAATGTGTAAAACATCCCTGTGAGGGTGTGGTGGCGGACCTATTATTCCCAGAGGCCTCACTGTCCTGGTGCATCATGTGGTTTTACAGGATGTTACTGTGCAAGACGATCTCTAGGACCAGGTGCTAGTCAGCTGTTTGCTCTCAAACTAGTTCAAGAGGAGAGGAGGCTGAAAAATACAGGCCACGCTCCTCTCCTTTTCCTGTTATTGGATTTCACATCCCCACACCCAATGCATGTTCCTGATTATCAACCGTAGCTTTTGCTTCTTAACAAGCCTCTTCATAAAATAGTAGCCTCACACATGTTCTGTGTCTGTCCCAGGAGTTCAGTATGCAGGGACTTTTCACCTAGTGGAAGTGTGTTATTGTCAATAAGAACTGATTTCCTCTCCCACATAAAAAAAATAATACACTGTACTATAGAATACTATAGTACTTACTATAGAATTCAGGTAGTAAACTGTAGTATACTATAGAATCCTATACGCCACACTGTAGTATCCCTCGATCATGTAGTGCTTACTTTAGAATGTTCATTTTGTAGTGTACTGGAGAATACTATACTACACACTGTAGTGTTGTCACGATACCAGAATTTTGACTTCTGTCACGCCCGGACTCAGGGGACGCTTATATGTTGAGTCAGGGTGTGTGTATTCCTTGTTGTGTATTTCTATGTTGTAGTTCTAGTATGTCTAGATCTATGTTGGCCGGTGTGGTTCCCAATCAGAGGCAGCTGTCGCTCGTTGTCTCTGATTGGGGATCATACTTAGGCAGCCTATTGGCACTAGTGGGTTGTGGGATCTTGTTCCGTGTTAGGTATGTTGTTTGAGTACCTTGGACTTCACGTTTCGTTTCTTGTTTTGTCATTGTGTTTAATATTTAAATAAACATGTATGCATATCACGCTGCACCTTGGTCTGCCCCGTTCATGAAAGAACGTGACAGAAGATCCCACCAAACGAGGACCAAGCAGCGTGTCCAGGAAGAGCGAATTGCCATGTCACAGGTGGGCAAATTGTGGTCATGGGAGGAGATATTCGCGGGGAAAGGGCCATGGGCGAAGGTAGATGCCCAGGCAGGAGAGGTGCAACGGCAACACAGAGGACGCCGGGCGAGGAGGAAGCCCGAGAGACAGCCCCAATAACATTTTTTGGGGGGGCTAAAGGGGTGGTCGGGGAGCGAGAGAGAAGAGCCCCGACCACTGCACCCGGTTGGTTTTCAGATTGGGTCCCTACGACCATGGGAAGAGGAGTGGGAACAGTATTATACTGAGGAGTCGGCGGATGACGACGACGACGAGGTTCTGTTCCCTAACTCGTGGGGGCTCCCGGAGGAGTCCTCACGGGAAGAGGAGTGCCGACGACGGAGACCCGAGAGGCAACCCCAAGACATTTTTTTGTTTGAGTACCTTGGACTTCACGTTTCGTTTCTTGTTTTGTCATTGTGTTTAATAGTCAAATAAACATGTATGCATATCACGCTGCACCTTGGTCTGCCCCGTTCATGAACGAACGTGACAACTTCGATTCGATACCAGGTTTAGTATCACGATACTCGATACCATCACTATACTCGATACCAGAAACGATACCACAACAACAACAAAAAGATGGCGTATTAACCAAAGTCACAGAATGGCACTTTATCCAGATAGATAAACTCAGCTACTGCTCTGTTCAATCATTGGGCATCTTTTGAGTTCAATATCCTTACATTTCTTTGAGACAGCCATGTATGCATTTATTAATCAATTATACAATCATACAATCAATTTGACTTTGTTTTTACCAATCTAACTACAAAACAACATAAAGAACTTGGTCAAATCAAATTGTATTTGTTGCATGCTTTGTAAACAACTGGTGTAGACTAACAGTGACATGCTTACTTACTTATGGTCAGCTGAATCTCTGTGAAAGCACTGTTGCATTTCAGAGGAAGTAACAGATCTAAGAAGTCATTTTGGTGTACTCTTGTTAATGTGTTATTTATCTGTCAAACAAGCAAACCTAATCCTCTAAGCATTAATAAGCTTTGCTTGTTCTTTATATCTGCCTCTGTGCTGTTTCCCTTTAATGGGCCTAGAACCTGTCTTAGATGTTACAATTGTAATAGAATTGTATATTTTTGCTGAAGTGTTGTCTGGTCCGTTGCATTGCTCAGAACTGTTGACCCAACTCAATAGGTGGCCTGTCACAAACTTGTGAGTATTACGTTCTGGTTGAGGTGTTCCCATCATTAAACAGTAACTGGTCTAGTCTGGTAGTTGTGCCATTTTAGCTAACCCTAGATGGCAGGTTACTACAGTATACTACAGTCATGTCTACAAGAATACTACAGTATACTACACTTATGTCCACAAAAACTTTACAGTAAATACTGCAGTATACTAGTGATGTCTGCAAAACCCTATAGTCAATACTACAGTAAGGTCCGCAAAAACACTACAGTGAATACTATAGTATACTAGTCATGTCTGCAAAAACACTACAGTGAATACTACAGTAAAGTCTGCAAATACACTATAGTGAATACTATAGTATACTACAGTAATGTCAGTAAAAACACTACAGTGAATACTATATTATACTACAGTCATGTCTGCAAAAATACTACAGTGAATACTATAGTATACTACAGTCATGTCCGCAAAAACACTACTGAATACTACAGTATATAAATAGAATAACATTACAGTATTTAGACCATAGTATACTATAGTATTTTTTCATTAGGTCTTGTACAAGAATAATATCAATGCCTCAATAAAGAACCATACCTTTTTCAGCTATACACCTCCTCTACCAGTGGATGTACTATAAATCTAAAACCAAAACATACCCACCATAGCTCGTTAGGGCTCTATGACCAAATGATCTGGAACTAACAATAACATAAACACAATGATTGGCTAGATAAAGTTGACTAGTCCCTGGAGAACCATGAGTCTGGGGCGACTAGAGCTGTAGGGGGAGGGGAGAGGGTGGGGGGTATGTATAGCTAATTATCCATGACCATGTGGGTTCGATTCCCACGGGGGGCCAGTATGAAAAATAAAATAATGTATGCACTCACTAACTGTAAGTCGCTCTGGATAAGACGTCTGCTAAATTATGTAAATGTAAATGTACATTTAAGCATGGTCCTCATCAGGGGTGTCATGCACCCCAAAAATCTGAGGCGGCATAAAGTACATGAGGATGGCTGGGGGTGGTCCGGAGGGGGGCTAGGCCCCCCGTTGGAAAGTTGGAGAATTCTGCAATTTTCAAACTCCTGAAACAGCTTTTTCCTGCAATCTAGCCATAATCATTATGCTAAATTTTTCGTCATATCTAAGCATAGCTCTTGAGCTGTCTGTATACTCCTGACTGGTGGTTCTTATTTTAAAGAAACAAAATATGCTTCTCTGCATCTCTGCTCAAATCTGGGTAAAAGATTGAAAGGAATGTGAGTCTTATTCAGTAGGCTACATTAAGTTATTGTTTGCTTTTCTCAAATCTACCAACCTTGCCAGTAGGCATGCAAGCTAAGCTAGTTAGACAAGC